GCTCGTTACCTCGACATCTGCGTAGAATAACTTCTCCCCGCGGAGGTTTAAAATTCCAAGGCCTCGGCGCTTCGTTGAGGAGAGTTAAAGTATCTCGAGGAGCATCTTCCGATTTCATCAAATAACTTTTGCTCTTTCCCTCTGAGTGGGAATATGTTGCAATTTCTGATTGTAAGTTCCCACTGTCGGTATCGTTCCCATGGCAATGCACTGCCTACCTCATCCGTTCAGAACTGGTAGCAGTTGCATTGCTGATTGCCATCTTCGTATGTTTTGTCGATCTCTAGTAGCCGATGTCGTGCTGTCGCGCCCACCGCTTCCAAAAGGTGTTGATCAATTTCTGATTGCCGACTATTCGCAGCTTACCTCCATCCCCTAACAGCTTGCATGTCTCATGGTAACCAGGGCGACGATCGAGCCTGTAGGATGTTCGATGATGACGGCAATGCTATGAGTGACGGGTAGGTTAATTTTAGAGTGATCTTGCCACTGACTCCAGCTCTCCTCCTTTCACATCTGGCCTTGCTACTTGCAATGACAGAATTTAATAGAAACGTGTGATAAGTAAATTTTGGAAAGGTACATTTTCCACCAACAACTAATTCGTATATAAAGGGATTACTTGATAGCGCACTGACAGTCTAAAGAAAATTTCCTAAAATTTACAGTAATATCACTGTAACTGCAAATCACTGTGGTTGCAATACATCATAAAGGATAAAAAATATATCGTAATTCCTCGCTAATACTGCGAAATAAGCCTTAAAGGAAACAAGTAATGGTGATTATTGAAACCTCATATGTACTATTCCCTTGAGATTGAGTCGTAGATTATGAAATATGCGACGGATCTGTGAAAACGGCTCGAAATAGTAAAGAACACATTTGTGTTTAACCTAAAGTATAACGATACTTTCAAAAATGACCAGTAAGTCAGCAAGACGTAGATCTAGACAAGAAATTGAACTAAAACAGGAACCCTCATTTTACACTTGCGTATCCTAAGTGTCGCGTTTGTCAGAAGACATCAAACGAATTCTAAATTGAAAGAACGTCTGAGTTTCTTTCAGGTTCTGAAGATATCACAATTACCGCGCAAACATGGTAGAGCAGGTTCACAGTAGACATGCATGAGTGTACACAGAAGCGTAGGATATGGCCTCATTGTTCAGAAATACAAAACCTTGCGGTTCAGGATTGCGGAGCACAAGCTATTCGGTACACGAGTTGCAACACGACAGAAATCACTGAAGCATTCATAAAGAATTTTCGGGCCAACCTTTTTTCATATTGCCATGATGCATTTCATTAATCTCGATGGTACAGGACCCACTGTAACGGAAAGTAATATGTACTCAAGCGATTTTTAAACAGTTAAGCAACAAAGGTACAAGGTCTATCCTTTTGAGTGAGTACTGGAATGTCATCGAGCAGCATTCTCGAAAGAATTTTTTGAAAATCCGTCATTGTTACTCAAAATCTTACATCTCCTTCATTTTCCATGGTTATTTCTCCTTTTAGGTCGCGGAGGCGGACGCGTCAGACAGTGTTTCCAACGTTTCCGATTCTGCACCAAAGACTGAGCTTCGGCCTAAGAAAGCTGGAGTCTGGAACAGACTCCTTCCGCATATTTGCACAAGGTTAATCTTATCCGTCCGCTGGGCCTTTTGCCGGTAGGTTTGGCAAAGAATAGTCAGGCCATTATAGCAAGCAAGAAAATACTGGATAAATATAGTAGGATATTGACAAAGAATCCTCAATCAATGTACAACTGAGTCTCCCAGATCTGGCATATTAATCGTATTGTGATAACTTACGACATACACTCTGTTAAGTGGAAGAGATAACATTCACCAATTCATATGATTGACGTGGTGAGTAATAGCTGCATCCTCCAAGACAAAATCACAAATAAAATCTTACTCCTCATTCCCCGGGGTGTGAATTGCCTTCCACGAAAGTGACCAAAACGGCAGCTGGTGAGGTGCGAAGGCACAGAGTGAGTAAGAATGCTAAGTTTATGTATTGAAGCTGCTACGGTGAACCAACGCTGGCAACGTTCAATTGCAGATCATTTTTGTGTAATGCAAGACCTTAAAAGCTAGAAGAATACCTCCAAGACGATGACAGTACGAGCCGAAGAAGAATAGAGAATTAAAACGAAATATTTGAGAGGCCTTCACACAACAATGAATCGATAAACATTTTTGATGATGATGCTCATATGCGGCGTAAAATTCTATTATTAACTGAACGATTCTGGATGATTGATTCTAATTGGTGTTTTGACCATGTATCGGCAAAGGAAGATAATTAACTATCAATAAATTAAAATTAATAAATCTCTCCCTCCGCAGCCGCCACCTCATAGTTTCGAAAAACTTTCTGTTACAGTCCATAAACTTTGCCTCAGTTTCTGTCACACCATGTAAGCGGTTGGAGTATTATACCTCTAGCACTGTTACAGCGTTATATGCTTCTTAAGCTGCTCATTGCCAGATTCGTTTCCTATTTTGCAGCTAACTAACATCCCTGTATTGGAAGGTTCATGAACTGTTCGCATTCCACCGTAGACGATATCGATTGCATTAAATGACATAATTGAAGCGAAACAAACATGAAGCATTTTTTTAAGCGAAGTTGGATTTATAATCTCCAAGCTTTAGTTGGAAAAATAAATTTATCAGCTCTAATTTCTCCCAAAACCGTAGGCGCTGAAACGCGTTTTGTTAATTTTCTTAATCTAGCATTAACACTCTGACCAGCGAATTATTCGCATTAAATCACATTGACAGCAACCTACGCTCCATTCATTACTGTTCCTAACATTTATTCTCTCCAACTGCGGCGTTTGCGGATCCTGACGTAATCTTCTTTCGGTAATGATGGAGACCAAGTGGTTTAGTCTGCATATGAGGATATCAGTGGACGATAATCGCCGATCATCTTCCGACGGTAATCCGAGCTGCGTGACTAGCGACCTACAAGTTCCTCTTTCTGCTTTCGACAACAATCTCCTTTTCTCCCATCCGAGGTCTGATCAGATCTTGCGGGACGTCGTCGTGACACCAGGTCATGAATTCTCCTATTTCCAGTTTTCTTGGTGATGCATAGCTAAAGCTCTTTGCTTTTTGTGACAGCCAGCATCTCATAACCATACAATATAGCTTATCAAGTACAACGTTGATTATTCTAGGCATGAAGATTACGTTTTAATATAGTATAAAAGATCTTGACGGTCGTTGCGACAATTTACTGTAGAGACTGCTAAAACGCCTTTGAACCGCAAACGATTAAACGTAGATCGTCAGGTAGTGTACGATTAAAACCTTGGAACGCCAACGATCTGTGCTTTTTCGGTGATTTTACAAAAGCGCTTGCTGGTTGTATGGAATGGACTTGGAAAAGTTGAATATAGACAGCATCATCGCAAGGCTATTAGAAGGTAGTTGTTCAGTGATCCGCGTTTTGTGCGTTTTCCGAAAGTTGCCGTTATTCCTTTAAAGTGCGCGATTCGAAACCGGG